AACTTCTTCAAAAAGCTTTTATAAGGACTTTTAATTACTAGTAATTTTTTACAATTATATATACATGACACCATGGAAGCATATTAAATTAGCACTATGATAACGTACAGCTCCACAGACCAGATTTGGTTTGTAACTCTTGTCTCCAAGATGGCAGCACTTGCAATGCAACACACACACCAGTGAATTGGTGTGTGCAACAGAGCAGTCAGGAATTTTGCTTCTGATCAGGGCTCACCACACCAGTGATCGAACTCCAGAGCCTCTCCAGAAGACATGCCCTGACTGATAATCAGTTGAGATACAATTACAGCCAAATGGTGACTCAAGTTAAATTCAGTTTTGGGATGCCTGATAAATACTGCAAGCTTGCATTTGAAGTACAGGTGTGTATACAGTTACTAAGAGTATAAAACAAGGTATCTACTATACCTTTTTTTTAAGCCCCAGAAATGCCATGACAGTTTTAATAATGCTTAAAAGATTTTTCTGTCTGAGGGAAAGACAGCTTTTTTTACTGAACACTGATTAGATTATGAGCTTTCCCTGACAAAAATAGATACATTGAAAACACAGATCACTCTTAATACAGCTAAGAACATTTTTTGCCTATCAGGAACTTGATTTCCAAGGACCCGATCAGTCAGGGTAGAGGTTGAGGAATTTCACAAAAAGTAAATCTCATCCTCACTGGGAGAACAGATTGTTCTTTGAGACATACCTTATGCGCTGAAGCTATCCATAAACAACTGAGTGACAGTCCACTGGTAAAAAACCTGGAAAAAGAATGAATTTCTAGACCTGAGAAAGGGTCTTAAGGTACTAAAGGTGTTCAGCAAGCCTGAATGCCCTGTATATCAACACGATGTCACAGCCTGTGGAGAAAGGGAAAGGCTTCCTTGGATCTTTCTCAAATTAAAAAGACTCTGGTTTGTAGGAAATTATGCTTGTTGTCAATCTTACTTGTTTTGGTAACTCATTCAGTTTTATTAGGGAGAGAAAAAAGGGTGACTTTGCCATCCCTTTGTCAACAAGCAGAAACCTGGCCTTCTGCTTAGACCAACCGAAGAACAAGTCTATTCCCTATCAGGAATAAAAATAATTCCAAACACAGACAAAGCACAGAAAACTTGTATCTAAAAGGATGAATGCCTTTTAAATTATTTCAGATGAGAACTATGGACCCCAAAAGTATCAAGAATTACGAGGTGTCTTACATAATTACTGTGGCAAGGTTTGACGCCTATCTTTGACAATGCAGGTTTTAAATGCACACTGCTACATTTACTAAATGTGTAAAACTAAAAACATACTAAAAGCCAAAAGAGAAATAAGGAAAAGCAGGATATGCTTACCACTATGAGTAACAAAAGTCCTCAATATGGGCCAATTTAAGTATCATAAGTATCATATCCTACAGCAAAGGGCCACTGCCATGAAATATGAAGATAGATCACTTCTGCTTCAAACTTACACCTTCACAATGGGAACACATCGGCATTTGTGTATTTCATTGCTGTGAATGTTCCCACACAGCTGCAGATTAACTGAACACCCATGGGGATGTGAATAATGTTGTATCTCCATGAGTGACGAGAGGAACACACCAGTTTCTTCTGGCTGTGCAATGTGGAATGATGCAAGGCAACATCAGTGGTGAAGGAGAGGAACCACATCTTCCCCGAGGAATCCATGTGCATTTGTTTTCTGTAAGGATCCAAACAAAACAGGTATTAGTACCATTATTTGTGTATAAGATTTTAACGGCTAGAGAATTTTCTATTACAGGAAAGTTGTAAAATTAAGGTCTTTTGAAAATTGTAGAATGATCTCATATCAAGGTTTATGAATTTAAAGTAATTTTTAATTGCAATTTTTCTGCCTATAAAAGGTGCAGCTTAGTTTTTATCAAACTCACATCCTCAACAAGAGTGTTTTTGTAAATATTCACTGACCAAGTATCAGATTTATGGTAAAAAGCAAGGGTGTCACATTTCGGTAACAACACTGATCTCTGTAAAGGTTAAATTTAGAAAATATTGTTAGCAGAAGAGTAAATTACTGAACAATTAAGTGCTCTAAATTTTAGCCTATTCTAATAAAACTGAGCCACCATTACCAAATGAAAATGCCAAAAATCTTTGCACTTTGAGTATTTCACATAAGGCACAGTCCATGTCATCATGTTCCTAGAAGGGTAATAAATAAACTTTGCGCAACATGGCCTTACTCTTTAACTGATAGCAAGTAAGCTCTCTGTTCTGAATTGACGTCCTAATTTTTACTGATTTACTTCATTTCCCAGAGCTTAGATTTCCAAGAATGGTAAAATGAACCAGCATAGGGCAGTAGTTTGTTATTGAATATTATTCTGCTCATTAACTACACTGAATTTAAAAGTACAGCTGCTTAGTCACATTTAATAGGGTTTTTTCTACATTTAAATAACAACTTTGATCTGTACTATACATGTTTCATAATTATTTGCCCTTGTGCAATTGCTATGTTATTTTGTTCCTTTACACGTTCCTTTTATCCACTTGGATCTCAGTCCTGGATACCATCCAAGCAGAGTTAAATAGAATACCGTGAATCTTATAAAGACACAAAGATAAAACTCATTCATCTCTGTCATTTCAGGGTGGCCCAACATTGTGGCCTGCTCTGTCACTAGTGTTGAGTTGCAAAACAGTTCTGCTGTTTGGGGCTGAGAGCAAAGGTGCACCAGATCGGCTCATTTGGGGTGAGCTGGCCTCAAGTCTCCAGGGCTGCTTCACATTCAAACTCTTTTCTGTTAGTGGATTGAAGGTGAAGTGCAGGGAGAGAAGAGGCTGAAGTCTCACCTCATGTTCTATTCAGTATTTATGGTTATATATGTAAAGTTTTAAATACAAGGACATCAGGTGTATTGTTGTTTCTGGACTTTGCACACCTGCTAACATTTAGTGTTAATCTAAGCTCATCTTGGATTTTGTATTTGCATTGATGACCTTAAGTTGTAATCAGTCAAATATTACATTTAAGAATGACGGTATATGGTACAGCTGCTAAGCTACTTAGTGCTGCCCTTACACATCTGTGTTACTCATTCTCTGCTGAATTTTGAAGGGGTGCAGGGATGCTCAGGGACCGTACAATATTTTTCTAAATCACTCTGTATTGCTTAAAATCATATATTCCTGAGTTTTGCTTGTGTGGTAGACCTACTAATTACTTTCTGAAAAGACACCAAATATGTTTTTCCCATCCAGCTTTAATCTGAGGTTTTTGTTAATGTTATCAGCTGCTCTGAGTTCACAGCATCATTACAGAAAAGCTGTAGCTTTTTAAGCTACATTTTTAAGACATTGGGGCACAGCTGTAGCGCATGCTCGTTGCCAATTAATGCATCCCTAGGAGACTGGTAGATTGGTCCACTTAAGCGTTTGGTTGCTTATAGGATTTTCCAGAGATTTCCTTTCCTGAAGATATTTGAGGGGATTCTTCTCTTGCCAAAAGCTGGGAACCCCAAAGTAACTGAAGGAATCTTATGACACATGGTTGCCTCCTTTGGCCTTATCCTTCAGCCAGACTGAAATATCTAAAGGGAGAGAAACCTATTTGAAGTGTTGCAGTTACTCTGACCAGCATAGTTTAACAGAGCTATTGGTGAAATCTTATCTTGCTTTCCATAGTTGAAGTAGGTGTTGTTTTTTTTTTTCACCTATCTAGTAATGCTTTAGCTTTTTACATTGTAAAGCAAGAATAGTGAGTGATGCGGGTATTGTACTGTTCCTGTTGCTCTGTGTATCTGAACACAGGGCATTCAGATACATTTTATGCATGCAGATTTAATACTGCTAAATTCAGAGTAGCTAACATGCAGCATGTGATCACAAGTGTATTGGTGTATCCACTGTCATGTATGTTTGTCAGTGTTGGTCATCATGTAGTATATGCTTTTCTAGGACTTAATTTGTCCTTCTGCCTATGCCCAAATCCTACTAAATTTTACTACATGGATAGAAAAAAATCTCCCAACTTTGTTGATACTCTAGCTAAGGAGGGAGGGACAGCACATTTTCTATCCCTCTTCTTGGCCTTCAGTTGCCAAGTCAATGCAGTGCTTTGGCTGGCATGGCCATCAGCTGAGTATCTGTTTGCAAACGAGTTGGCACAGGACTCTGCAGGGAGGAGTAAGGACTGAAGATCCAGACTGTAAGATAATAATGAGTGATTTCAGCCCATCTATCCATTTATTTTTTTTTACTGCTGTTACTTTCTTTGTCTTATACCCTTGGTTCTTCCCTTTACTCTGTCCCTGCTTCCTCCAAATGCCTTAATATTATTTGCTTCCCACCCCACATCTCTAGGCCTCCCCAGCTTTGTTTCCCCACAGAGAAACATTTCAGCATGCTAAGGGTTGCTGCTGACATCTCTTCTTCCAGCCTCTGCATCCGTGGCTGCCAGGGAGCTCCAGGACTGGGACCCTCTCGCCGACTCCCCCTTTGCAGGGCTCTCCTGCCAGGGAGGCAGCCTGCAGTAGCCCCTGGGTGCCTTTGTGCAGGTCAGGCAGGAGCGGCTCTTGAGCCCGCTGCTTAGCACTGCCTATGCGGAAAAAAAAACCCCACGAACAACAAAAAAGTGTTGTTTCTGTTAAATTAAATTAAAAAAAGAAAGAAAAAGGACATGCTGGTAATTCTGTGTGTCAGTAGCCGCTGCTGAGCGGATCAGAGCGACAGAGGCTTTTGCGTAGCTTGATTTAAATTGTTACTCCGTTGTTTTTTTCTCTGCTCACGCAGATCCTATGAAATACCACCCTGAAATAAACCGGCTGCCCTCACAGCCAAATGTAACACCAGAGCACTTGACTTGCGTGTTTCATTTTGTAGAAAAGCGAGCGGAGCCTCCCCGGGGCGGGCGGGCGGCAGCCCCGGGCCCGGCGAGCGGAGGCGCCGCAGCCGC